ATAAGGTACACGTAAAAAAAGAATCGTCCAATTCGGTGCAGTCGTTCTGAAGTTATGAGCGTACATACATTTCGGCGATTCATTTTTATTACTATAGATAGATGATGCTGCTTAAACTTGCAATTTGATGTTTTAATAATGACTTCTTTTTGAATATTATCAAGTGTAATGTTGTGTCATTTGCTAATAAAAAATCTCTTATTTTATTTGATTACACTATAAATGGAGAGAGAACACCTCGCCAGGAGTGATGTAGTAAAAGATTTGGGAATCTATTTTGATTCTCGGCTCTCATTTCGGGTCCATATCGATGAAGTAGTAAAACATTCACTCTCTTTGCTTGGATTTATATGTAATTAGACAATATCGTAGCTTCACTTCTATTGAACCTATAGTACCGTCGTTTCCAAAAAATTTCAGGCAAATGACATTGACATAAATGTCATATTCCCATTGCTTTTCATTGGTCTATGAGAACCTGATTTGCTCATCTTGTGCGAAATTTTTTGGAAACGATTGTATTTGTCAAAATTTAAAAATTAGCAACTGCATTCTACCTTGAAAATACAAGTGATAACACCGTAGTATTAAATTTTAAGTTTGGCATGGTAGGAAAACAAAGATAGGTTATAACCAATTTATACTAAATGGATATTTTGGAAGGGTTTTGACGTTTCAAAACGTTTTAAAGACAGATAAAATTTTCTTTCATGTACTTCGTGTAAACAACAGTCCGGTTTCCATTGTACGGGAATTTGTTCGTTTGATAAAAATGTCTTTAATGAAGAAAATTTCTTGTATTCGTATCGTATAAGATCACAGACGGAATACGAGCGAAGTCACCAGAAAATGAAATTGGTCCGTCAATACTAAATATTGTTCTTAACAATGTTGGCAAACACACACCGGACAGAAAACTAACGAATAAAGGTCCGAAACGAAAAAAAAATCAATTATAACGACAGATACTCCTGAACGCGACGGAATAGTAAAAAGGTGAGAAAAGATATAACAAAAATTGAAAAACCAAAAAAAGCCAAGAAGAAAATTATGACCGATTTTTCTTTTTCTAGCGACGAAGATGATGAAGTAATATATATGTATAAAGATTCATCCTGAGCTAGATGTAGAATTGGAAGATGAGGATTTAGATATAGGCAGTGCTATAATTTGTAAAGTTTATGGAAAAAATTGTCTAAAGTTATTTAGACAGAATTTCCCACACCCATGAAGTACCCCTATAAAATAAAGATATGTGTGGACTGTTGACTGCAGGCAAAGAGGCATGCATGTGTTTCAAGTGAATTTTCTCCTTAACACAATTTTGTCCTCTTTAAAATAGGCAAAATATTGTGAGTCTATGGTGGTTTATCAATACATTCTAATTTTTTAGAATTGCTTACACAAATGGCCTAAAAAAATTATAGGGCAAATTTATTAGTTATTTATTGTAAGAGTGTTTTATGGACGCAAGAAGAAGACCCGTGGGTGAGCTGGCTTCGCGTCTACCCGCTACACCTTGAGTCGTGGGTTCGATTCTCGTCCTCCTTAGTGTTCGGATATGTCTTGTTTTCTATAACTGAGACTCTGCCTGTAGGAAACTAAATAATAAAAAATAAAATGTAAATAAAATAAAGAAAGTTTAAACGCGAGAATGCAGTCGAGCGTTTAATTTTCGTAAGTGGATAAAATGTGACAAAAACACGAATACAACGTTTCATCCACAATCACAAGCCCAAATTATTCGAATTTCATAAAAAAATAAATGTTATTTATTGGTTTTTTTTCTCGAAAAACTTGAGAAAACGGAAGAAGTTGAGTCCATTCCTCCAGAAATCTTTGAAGAAGCTCAAGAAACAACTTTGTATTTATTACTAGGCAAGTCTAAAGAACATTACGACAAACAATTTGCTAAATTTGACAAGTGGTGAGAAAAACGGCAAGTAAAGGCAATTAATGAGGAATAGAAGTAAAGAAAAGAAAAAAAAGTACGTGGTTTCATCAACGTGGAATAAATGTTCTATATTGCTGTACATATATTATAAGAGTATACAAAAATATAGACGTGTCAAAATACGGATAATAATTTACGGCTATCTTGAAAAATATTTCTAAAGGATAGAAATTAAGAAAGCAAACATGAGGGAAAGAGACCATGTTGAAGAATTTCTGACAAATGCTCCTGATAAATAGCATTTGAAGATTAAGGAAAATTTTTATTTCTTTGACAATGTTAGATGTTCCAGACGAGAAGACAAATTCACAATTTCTGGAGGAAAAAACTGCTGAAATAATATATTGACTAACTTATTTGCCAGTTGCAAAAACCCTTTCCAGATTTCAAAAATGTAGTAAAATGTTATAAAGTAAAACAAATACCGGGTGACAATTATTAATGCTTGAAGCAAATTTTTGTGTTTGTAATTCTGAATTATTGTCAGCAATACTGGTATGTCAGTTCACAATTTTCAATTTTGACACGAGTGCGCTTAACAAACGTGTTGAGAAGATGGCAGCTACGAATTTGATGTCATAATCATAAATGTCAATTTGACAATCAGATATACTATTATATTATAGAATTTTAAATATGTTGCCAACCAGACAAAAAAATCAGTATTGGACTATCACAAATTTAAACATATAAAAAAAAGGAAATTGTCATTAAAGTAACTGAATCGTCAAATCATTACTATAGTTTGGCGAGAAATTTCAGTTGGTATGAACAAAACCAAATTATATCGGGAGACCAAATCATAGATCGATGGCTCTGATCAAAGCGATGGAGTTCACCTCAGTTTCTGTGTTACGTTGTGTTGCGAGATTCAGGAGCTGGAAGATATACTTAGCCTCGTGGTGCAAAGGGTTGTTACATAATTGACCGCATTATCACACCAGGTGCCTCCCATGAAGAAGTAGGTACCCCAGGAATCGGAAAGAAAAAGGTTTACGAGACAACTTGCGTTAAAATCCCCCCCTGCTAACATTTGTGGAAGTAACCCATAAATTTCGAGTCTTTCATTTAGTTACTGCTGGTAAAAAAAAGGTCCGACACGTGCTAAATTGGAAACAAATCAGAAAACTGCCCGCGTCGAATCTGAAATTTGTCCCCCCCAAGTTCTGATGATGATTAAATGAGTTACTGAAACTGCAGAGTAAACAAATCTTCATTACGCCAGACTGTATCAACAATTTCAAACAACAAAAATTTACATGAGATTAACTTATGCATTAATTAAAGTTAATCTTTAAATCAAAAAAATGTTCCTTACATAAAACAATTGCCGCTTTATGATATCGCAAGCAATAAGTATTTTAAATACCAAAATTTAACACATGTTTTAAATAACACTACTACACAAAAAGTAACCCACCAAAAACAGGAAAGGAAATGAATGACCTTCCAAAAATCTACCTGGTCTGCATTCCAAAAATTCCTACCTAACCAAGGTAAGGGTCTAATAAGCGGAATACGAGTGCAAACGCATGGATAATTGCCTATGTTAAACATTGCTGATAATGACTGATTTTATTATTTTTCATTTTTCAAAAGCGGTTCCACGGCATTGTTTTTTCTTCATTGCGAAATTTAAATTTCAACTTACGGGCACCACAATAAGTTGTTAATAAACGCACAGTCCTCGATCTCATTAATTACTTTGGTCCATACTACAACAACCCTCTGCAACAAAAAATCATCAAGAAAAAAATTGAATGATTTCACTGCTTTGGATATGCTAATTCTAAATCTGCGAACAGTTTTTTTTTCTAGCACGTTACATTGTCGGGATAGTAGACATGATTATAGTGTAGTTTAGGAAATATCGTTGTACCCTATAAAATTTTAGTGACAATAACGAGGCGGACAGTAGTACACAAACCTCATTTGACATACACCTGTTAAAACTTTTATGACTTAAACGGCTTAAGCCAAAGCACCCTTATAAGTCAAACTGGTTATTATAGGCTTTGTGCACCCGAATCGCAAGATTATTACTGTCCATTGTTGGCATAATGTAGCTGTGAACTGAGTTAAGTAATACAATAGCCAGTTTGACTTATAAGGGTGGTTTGGCTTAAGCCACTTAAGTCATAAAAGTTTTAACAGGTGTATGTCAAATGAGGTTACTTTACATTGGTAAGAAATATTTATGGCTCAGACCAGTCTGCCCGAATTTGCCGGAGAATATTTAGCAGGTAGTTGTACTCATAAAATAATGGTCATTTTTGTTTGTGGGTAACGGTGGTCCCTGTCCGGACCTGTTGTATTATTCTCCTTTCTAACATCTAAGGATTACCGCCACGAGACAACTTTAAGTTGTAAATATCTCTTGCTATTGTACTACTGTCCGTCTCGTTATTGTCAATAACATTTTATAGGATAGAAAGAAATTTCCAAAACTATAAATGAAAATTAATCATACCGAAGGCGACGGCACCGTTCCTCCCACAAACATAATTAATTATATATATTATTAATGGTTTTCTAATTTAAAATGTTGTGAAGTCACACTTGGTGTAAAATTTTTGTTTATTGTTCGTTTGTAAATTCACAGTTCATGTTAAAATTTTTAACTGTTTGTAACACAATTTAACAGTTACGAAACTGTTGAAATAAACCATGTGTTATGAAATCCACTTATTCAGGCTTCACTCTTTTGTTTATCAAGTTATAATTAAAGTTACTGAATGTTTTACTTAAGTATTACGTTACAGCATACTTCTTAATTTCACAGTCGAGATTGCTAATAGTTCATTTATGGCATTTAAACCGATCTAAACGTTAGTCCATTCTGAGAAAACAGACTGGGAAAAGTTGCGGTTACCCTCAAGTCAAGTCAAAAATATTTTTATATTGCCCATCCTTATGCGACGCCACTGTGCGGTTGTTTTTATTGACAAACAACCTAGTCGTCATATTGGCAACACTGATTGCAGGCACTTTTATGACGTTACCATAAAAGTAAACGTCATTTGATACGTCATTCTCATTTCTAACCTCAGCGTATCAAAAACCTGTTTTTCGAGCAAAAATAGCCCCCCCCTTCAGGTCCGTCCAGATAAAAACCAATTTCAGTATTTGCACAATCGTTGTGTAGTGCACGTCAGAGCGTAAAGAGACTGCGTTAGAGCAACACCAATATTTTCTTTTTTTTAATATCGCTTTTCCAGTAACCAATTCTCAGTGAAATAGCCCCATTTGGACTGAAACATGTCTTTGAAGGTGGGTGTTTATGTGTGTGTGTCATAGCGACTGACATCTGTGTAATTCGGTAATTCTGTTGGGTTTTTGTTGTAACGAGGGCTGTACGTCTGCGTGTTATTATCGATTTTGTTCAGACCGTAAGTGCAAGCACAATTTGAAGGGCGGCGGTTGGAAGCCCCTTGAAAATTATGCGAATTTTTGCAAATTTGTCGCCTCAAGTCATGCACAAGAGGTTCTTTAGTAATAAGTCATTTCAAGATTTGTTGTGTGGACAGGTGTCAGGTGATTCGAATGAAATGAAGGAGCTGGCGTCAAGGATATGCAGGGATTATTTGTATGGGCCTTGGAAGAGTGTTACTCCGCAGAATATTGGCTTCAAACATATCAGGTGAGAAAAATGTTGTTGGAGAGTTTGTGGATGTATGGGGAAAGTGGTACATGCAGTTGAGAGAAGTGATTGGTGGAGGGTCGGAAGCGTTTTCAGTGTGTTGTCTTACGCCAGAACCAGTTTTACATTTGGACTAGTTGTGGGAAGAAATCTATTAATGCAAAAGAGATTAAAAACGTTCAAAATTTCAGCTTTTAAACTAAAGTTTCAACTTTGCTTACTTTAAAACGGAAAATTAGAAGATATTTTTATACATAACATGAATGAAATAATGGATAAATTGTAATCCAATTTTGTCATAAGAAAGGCAAAATAATTCAACAGATTAACACCTACGTTTTTATACTTTGTCATAGAATGTGATGTAAAATAATATATATTTATTTTATTAAGCGTTTAAGTGATACTTTATGTGTCGGAGTGTGGACGATTAAACCCGAGCGATAGCGAGGCGAAGTAAGTCCATACGAGTCACATAAAATCACCTAAACTCCGAAAGAAATCAATATTTTATTTTCAAACGATCAATATTCTTTTGAAACGATTATTTTCTGTTCCCTTGTTTCTTTAAAAAAGGCCTTGCATTGACTTATCTTGGTTACTAATATGGTTGACAACCACGATCATTTTCACATTAACTTATTCTATTTTTTATACTTCGGCGAAGTATAAGCAATTCGTCGCTCAAACGCGCCGTCATAGAAATGAGAGTTAAACTTCTATAGTGTTAATTATATGATACTTACACTCCATAGACACACTTAAATTCCGGTAACAACGTCCTATAAGTGTTAATTATATGACGTTTAAAAATAAAAATTAATTAACACTTATAGGACGTTGTTACCGGAGTTTGTGTCATTTTGATGATAGCCTGTTTAAGCCTTTGACTGGCGTATAAGTGCTACTTATAGTATAAATGAGACTTCCATACTCACTCTGCCGGGATATAATAGAATACGTTTAGGGGAATATCATCGTGGTTGTCAACCATATGATATTCCCTTACTATGGTAAGTCAATGCAAGAGATTTTTTAATGAAGCAAGGAGACAGAAAATAATCGTTTCAAAAGAGTATTAATCGTTTGAAATGAAAATATTATTGACGCAAAGTAGAAAAATAAAATATTGTATTTCATTCGGAGTTTATCTTGACTTTATCTGACTCCTATAGACTTAATTCCCCTGGCTATCACTCGCCGTTTAATCGTTCATAGTCCCTCACGTAGTGTCACTCATAATAAAATAAATCTCTATTGTGGCGAAATATGTTAAACTAAATATATTACGATTTTTTGGAAATCACCATATTATTAACAACAACCAGAAAATTGGAATAATTTGACAACATCGCACCGGAACTTTAAAAATAAAACATGTTGTGAAGCTTAGAAGCTTAGAAACAGCCAATCAGGGCACGTAAAAATGTATAGGATGTTTCATTGAAAAAAGTAAGTTGCATGTTGCCCCTCAGATATAGTTGAAAATAATTTTAGGTTATACAGTTCGAAAAGTCGTGTAACTATTTTTTTCCATCTATTAATAATTTATGAGATCGAAGGGTCTGCGCTTATTGACTCACCCTATCTATATAAATATATCTTATCTGAAATCCATACTTTACTGAGATTTTCTGTACAAAAAAAGATGTTTACCGGTTTCTGTCTATTAAATGTCTGTTTACATTTACAAATGTTGACTGGTAGGAAAGCCATAACTGTATCCTGTATGTAAAATCGGTAGGGTAATATATTACCCAGTGGCGGCTCGTGACTGTCTGATGTGGTGAGGCGATGATAGAAGTTTGACAATAATAATATTAATAATAATCAAATTAATTAAATTAATGTCATTAATGCATATTACTTGGTCTTAGGGTCATACTAGTTAGTAATGATAGAAGTCTGGCCCGAATATCGGTCATTTCCGGCTCAGTGGTAGGTCCTAATAATAATAATAATATTAATAATAACACTCATAACACATTTAATCAACAATGTTTTCACAAGTCAAAATTTTGTTTAAACTAACACTTTCTTGGAGAGATTCGGGAATAGTTGTTGTGTTCCTTTCTAAAGGTTTTAGACCCATAAAATTTTTAATGTGTACTTTGGAACTTTCATGTAACTTTGCACTTCAGATGAAATTATGTAAATCGTTATATCCCGAGACGTCGTACAAATATTACGGCAGAGCAATTTATATGTTTCGTATCAAGTTGATTTAAAAGACTTGGAGTACTGACGATTCTGTCGCTTATCAATGGAAGTTAAATGAATTAACGATTTTGACTGGTCGATATTTAGCAAAATTTGCCGACGTTCTAGCTCGGTTCGCTGTGAAAACGGTGTTTCCAGAAGGAACATGAACATGAAAATGGTTTAACGCCGAAAATGGCCGAGAAGCACCGAAGATATCGCCTCAGTTCCGAGCGAACGCATGTATAGGGGTATAGGAGCTGAACCATGGAAATCCGTGTCTGTGATTGGGCTTCGTTGGTTCAAGTGAACCGACGTTCTGGCCGCTTCAGTTAAAGAACTAGGGGCATAAATCGTACAGTATTCAACCGAAAATGTCAGCAGAAAGCGTAAAAAATAAAAAATCATCTACAGATTTGCCATTTCAACATTGGTATTTTTGTAACTAAAAATGCATTGAAAGCTCTTTTTTAATTACAAATTAAGTCAATCTGTTCTTAAGATATATGCTGTGAGGCGCCGCCTCACTTGCCTCATCTGACGAGCCGCCACTGATATTACCTTACCGAAATGTCAATTGTTAACATTTGTCAAGGAATTGAAAAGCAATGAATGTGGAAAGCAATAATGTAAGTAACTTAATATTTTAATTTTGTGACTTTTTAGTAAGTAAAAAATTGATATTTCATTTTTTTCAATTTTGGTTTTAATTGCTTGTAAATTTACCAGATTTTGATAGATGATCGTAAATTTTAAGTGCAATTTTGGAATGCTGTTACTTTACAGTTTATGGAATAATTTTACGAGGGTACGTTTTGATGGTGGTAATAAACGTCCGTATAACAATAATATCGTCTATCAACAAAATGTTTCATTTGTAAAAAGAGAAAATAAAAAAATTGTAAAAAATTTCATTATTTGATAGCATACTCGATAATCAGCTTTTTAAAAAGCTTGAGTCTTACGATATAACAGGAATTTGGACCTTGTTGTCATATATTTAAGCAATAGAACACAGGTTCTTGATAGTAAAAAGTTAGCCGTTTGTATTTTTGAATTACCTAAGTGATTTACTTCTTAATATGTCTAATGTTAATACCGTGGTGTATCGTAACGATACAACTTTTTCCTTAAACCAAAAAATAAGTAACTTGCCTCAACCAATACAATATATTATTCAACAAACTATCAGCTGATTCCTTTTGAAAGAGTTAACAAAGAAAAAATTAAATAATTGAATTTAATAAATTAGTAATCAAATTCATGATTATCACAGTTTTCAGTATAACAAAATTCAGTCAATTAAATTCCTCGTATTGTTTTTTGATAATTAAAATTACTTTCTATGTGATAAATTGGCGAATCATGTGTTCATTATTTATTAATGGGTTGGTGAAGTGCGAGTTTAATTTATTTTACTTTGTTGAGCTCTCTTCTATGTTGTGGCAACATATACGTATTTTAGAAAGAATATTTTTACCACTGAAAAAACTATGCCAGCTGTAGTCACTTACATCATATTTTCAATGATTTAAATGTTTTGACTGTGTGGTGCACCTTCATTATGTTAAATCAGCGTGTCTGTGTTAAATGTTACAAGGGAAACAAACAGCAAATTTACACATAAATTGAAGCTTCAATATTTTTCCATTCATTATGTAATATAGAAATCTTCTTTTTTTATTAATATTATACTACATTTTATTTGATGCAATGAATTTTGATTTGATTATATTATATCCTCTTTGCTATTGGGCATGTCCATACAGTGTAGAATTTCTAGGATTAATAAACATGTTGTTCGTGGTTTTATGATTCATATTTAAATTATTTATTATTTAAAATTGCAGGAAGTCATATTAATTTGAAATGCATACATAATTGATGCTTTCGAGTCTTATTGCAGCTAGTGCCAATCAATTTTGTTACATATCTTATTAGTTTATAACGTACTCCATTTCATCTAGAATAATTTAGTTTTAGGAAATATATTTAGTAGCAAATATCAGCTCTGTTTGTCACGGGCTGTAAATGCTATTGTTATACGTTATTGTAATGTAAATAAAAGTGGAATTACCTCTTAATCCCATGGAACACAATAGTTATCATTAGATCATAGTTCCGCAGAAAAGCGAATAATTTGTACGAATTTCGCAAAAAAGGGAATAATTTGCATGTTTCAGATGTTTACGTTTTGTTAACTAGATTTTTAAAATATTCGTATCTGAAATGTATTCTTTTTAAGTTAAACGTATGCGTTATTAGGGGAGTAATATTTATTAAATCCGGGAGAATTTCACTTATTAATGATTAAATTTATGTTAGAGTTTGTGTCGAATTGTGCCGAATTTGTCAAAAAATACAGGATTGGATGAAAATATTCAACACATCTCAAAAACTATACATCATAATTATTTCAACATACATAAAATTTTATCAAGAAAATTGTACATGTTGCTTAACTATCAACCTCTATTTTAAATTTTGTATATATTCAAAACAATAATTAAAATTATGATGTCAAATTTTATTTTTCGATTATGCCATTAGAAAACATCGACATATTTTGTTTATTTTTTTCTGGAAAGTTAACCACGTCATCTCAAAACATAATAATATTTCTTAGAATACAGGTGATTGTATTTCAATAATGTTTTTAGAACTGTGTACAAAGAATGTTAAAAAAACATGTTTATCTGGTTTCTCCATAGTTCTTTATAATAGCAACTAATCTTTTCTCTATTAGGACGAGATGCCTATCTTTTACAGTTCTCAAGATGTGAGTTCCAAGAAAAATGTTTGTTTTATTGATTTTGAGTATGTAAATAAATGGCTGTAATCCAAAAATGCGTTTCTACGTAATGTAATCATTTTGAATTTGGCACAAGAAAATAATATTAGGAATAAAAATTTCTCCACAACTGATAACGTAAAGGATAGGTTTAAAATATGTTTTTGTATTGATAATCTAGTTTGAGATTTATATCTATACCAGTCTATAGCGATCTAAAAATTTTATTGGTATTAGCCATCAGATAATATTTTTTCGTGACTTGGCAGATTAGAAATGTGTTTGTATTACTGATCAAATCAAAATTTAATTAACGATTGTCTGGTACAAATAGCGATAATGCTGATTGTCGTACAGCTGTAATGACGTGATTACAATATCTACGCAGAATATAAAATGAAAATAAATATTTTCTTATTTGACGAACAGACTACACACATATCAATTTAATTTACTGTGCGAACATTCTGAGTATTTTTTTTTTGTACGAGAGGTAAATATAGATCAAATTTTACAAAAAAAGAAAAGGGAGAACCTGTTTTAGATTTTTTTTTCATAAATCAAGTAATTAGCGTTCGCTCCTGGTTATGGTAGAAACACATAGTTATCTACAACAAATAAGTCTGTTAAATGATTATAACAGCCGTGGCTGTTACAGTACTGTTATGCCTATTTAACAGTTACGTATCCTGAAAAATATGTTTAGGCAACCATTATAAATCTAGTCATTTTACGTCCATGAAGTGTCACTTTTTTGTACTGATATGTCAAAATTATTTTTTTAGACTCACTTGTCACTTTTTTGTACCCACGTTTCTGTCCTTGGACCTGTGTGTTGTCCATTTTTTAAAATAAGAAAGCCAAAAGCGCCGTTATTTGACCTCCACCTTTACTGAATATCGTTATGAAATGCGATGGTAGAATAGCAAAGTAGGATTCTGGTTTTTATCAAATCTTCAGGGCCTTTCATCTAACAACGAAAAAATATTTTCCAAGCTCAAAATCACTTGCATAACCAATTATTTTTCTGTATGGTCGCCTAAAAACGTGTGTGATCTCAACCAAACAGAACTTTTTCGGCCTCATCTGATTTGTAGGTCTCAGACCCAAACTGCAGATTGGCTGAAAAAGTTCTTTATGGCCTTGATACATAAATATTTTAATCTTATAACCAGTAAAAGGCATAGAATTAAAGGCTTAACGGGTTTACGTCATTAATAAACTATGATCAGTCAGTTGTCAGTTACTTAAATTATTAATTTCGAGTAATACTCGAAAGTCGACGATAGCGATTTTGGTCATGAAATTGGACGCATTTTTGTATTATCTCTCATCTGTTCGTGGAATATATGATATGAATCAGTAATTATAAGTGCTTCGAATTTTTGACAAGTTCAATGTAAATGTAGCAATTTAATTTCATTAGTGTGTCTGACAGATTCTGTTTAAACGAAATTAGAAAACGCGTATTAATGGTAAAACCAGTTGCTTCATTTCGGGTTATCTATATATATGTGTATATCCACATATACAATTAAAAAAAAAAAAATAAACACATTCCACACAAAATATTGTAGTATTAGTAACGACATAATCATTGAACCTTGGTCACAGTGTGTGAATTTTTGTAACATTCCAATTAGATTAACGCTATCGCATTTTTATAGTAAATAAATACATATATTGCTAATTCAATTAGTATGATACTGGCGTCCACACTGACTTGGAATTTTTTGCGGTTTCTATATATTATTATGCTGCACTGTTGCTCTTATGCAGACGTTCAGAATTCTCAAAAAAATCGTTATGAATTTCTTGTAAGAATAATGTAATACTTGTTTCTAATCTGGTGATTTTTAATTGTTGATAACCTTTTCGTCGGTAACCTTTCGATAATGGAGGTTATGTGCTACAATAAATTTTCAAATACCAAAATTACGACCTTTTATAAGGGTCAGCGTTCTAACCTCTTCCGAAACTGTTATATACGTTGATTCTTTTTCGCAGAACAAAACGGTCACGGGTTTTGTAATGTGTTATATGAGTCATTTAAAATTGATATAAAGTGTTTACTACAACGAAACCGGCAAAACAATAATGGAAAAGTTAAGTGCATTTATTATATGCTGATAATTTTTAGGTGGGACATTGTGATAATATAGCAATTGTTCGTTTTCATCGAGAACTGAATTCAATTTTCTTTAGAACAGGTATTTTTACATTAAAAATTTTAATAACTTTCCATGGAAGTTTCTAAAAACTTGATGAAGACAACGATTTATTTTAATTATTTAAAACAGATGGGCTGTGATCTTAAAAGGTTACATAACAATTTCGCCCTGGCATTTATACATATACTTATCTATAATCACATAAACTAATTAGTGATATTGTTGATTTGGTACATGGTCGCGACCTGACTTTGAAGCTATATAGTAAAATTACTATATAGCTTCAAAGTCACGTGCTTCGTTCGCTCTATATGCTGCGCTATATTTACTTTTTTGTCTAGCCAACTTTTTCAAACACATTGTAGTTCTAGTAAAGAAGTAAAAGTTAGGTGTTGAATTTTATCGAACCCTGCCGACTGTATATTTTTACAATAGATTTGAAATTGATCTTACTGAATGATTTGTAATTTTGATCTTTGTATCAATGCCAATTTTTCAAGTGGGTTCAGACATCCAAGATGGTATTTTATTTCGTCCTACCGGCGCATTTTTATACACTCATTTATAATCTTTCAGTGGTAACGAACCTAGTCTTTTGTTCTAGAATCTTTTTAAATAGTCTAAAAAAATAGTACCTATAATATAACACACAAGTATTGGTGTTAAAACAGAATGTTATATTCACACTTTTAAAATCTATCAATTGAAGAATTTTTAGTTTGGGAAGTAATGACAAGTTAGGTGTTAGGTTAAGTTTTAATGAGCAAAAATCATGAGTTGTGTATTGTAAAAATATAATCCTGTTGTTGATTTAAGCATTTAAGCCACTAGTAAACTCGTGGTAGTGTCTTACTGTTAGTCAGTATATACAGTCTTGTCAAAATGAATTACTATTCTGAAACCATAAATTACTTCAGTTATGTGGAACTCAAAAGGCATTTTTCAAGTAACAATTATATTATGCCTTAGACCCTCTTTTCAATACAAAAAAAAAATAGCTGGAAACTGGTTAATGCAATAAAATGCAAAACAAATGACTTAATGTGTTGGTCTTCTTTTCCAGTGGGGGCTTGTCCAACCTTCTCTACCACATATCCCTCCCCGAGTCCCTCGTTAAAGAAACAAAGGACTTAACCGAGCCCAAGGAGGTACTCATACGAATATACGGCCAAACCCACGGCGAGCACGCTCTCGAAGCTCTAATCACCGAAAGCGTTGTTTTTACTCTCCTCTCAGAAAGAGGTCTAGGACCAAAACTACACGGCGTTTTTCCAGGAGGTCGTATCGAGCAATACATCAATGCCAGACCGTTAATAACAAAAGAGTTGGCCGATGAGAAGTTATCGGTAAAGATTGCACAGAAAATGGCTTCTATACACACCATGGAGGTAAGGTTTTCAATTTTTGTTAAAAGTCAAACCGAAGGTAATTTTTATTATTTCTTAAACTTTGAAGTCAATTTGTATTCTCTTTATTTTTTATTATTTTCGGTGAGCTGCGCTGCATCCTGGAGACTCGCGAGCGAGTTTTATGTGATCGGTTACGAAAGTTGTTAAAGAACTGGGTCATTTGTGAAGTAATTAGGTAATTAGTGTTTTTCCTCAAATCGTGGAAAAGTACAAAAGGTGTTTACAGGTTGGGCTTATCTCGATCGAGTGCATTCTAAGAGTAAATAAGTTGCGTATTGTTTTTGACAATTTTTAAAGAGAAACTGTTATTCAGAACTTTCATGGTCTCATTATTATGCGACCTTTATAAATGAATAAAAAGAAATGTTTACAAACAACGCAAATAAAATGTGGGCGTCCGATAAGGGACAAACTAACAGATGTGATACTGTGCGAAAATGATAAATTAATTGATGCGTAGGTGTTTTTATTAATTGCGATATCATTTGTCGAGTTATTACGACACCTTGCACTTTAATAACTTTATTGTGTTGCTTTTACAAACATTTACAAAGGTTTCGCCATTCGTATCTACTAAATAGAACAAGTTGTGAGTAATTTTGCAATGTACGTTTCAAGGTGAAACGTGCATTGATCGCATTTTCCTGTTTAAAATTTTTAAATCAATATTGAGGAAATGCAGATTATTGACATATTTTGATTAGCATGCGCCCTGAATAACGTTTCAGAGATTAAACGTTTATGCTCGCCTTCACTGATGTCTTCATTTTTTTGGTGAAAGTATCTAAAGACGGCGAATGACGTATACTGTTTATAAATAACCGAGTTTCTAAATAGGGTTCATTATGCTAAACAAAGAAACACACTTATCAAGAAGGAAAATTTATGAATGATTTCAGTTAGAGGAAAATTTTTGTATTTGTTCATCAGACATCGAGCAGAGATTAAATACTCTAATTACATAATGTCACTGTGATCAATGAAATAGAAATATTTGAAATAATTGAGTCAAGTTCAAACGTGATGATTTTTCAAATATGGTGGATTTATCAGAATTCCTGATACAGTCGAGACAGTTGCAAAAATTTGTATTGTTTAAATTTTTTGTAAAAATTAGAAAAGTAATTGTTTACAGAAATTAAACTGTCAAGAAAATATTACGAAAGGTATTTTAAGCATATAAAGATGTTGGATTAGTAGATAATAAATTATCTACGTTCGTTTGTTTTATTGTGTTTGTACGCCGGATGTCGCAAAAACAGACTTCCTTGGGTAATAGAAGCTTATATAATACGATTATTCTTTATTTGTGTACCACGTGGTAATATAAACAGACGAGTTTAAAGTGCATATGGTATAAAAACTCACAAACATGTGTTAGTCTTCTTTGCTTGTGGAGCTCGCTACGCTCGCGTTCATTTCAACGGAATTAAGTTTAAAAACAAAATACATACAGACTTCTTATCAATCCGAAACATAAAGCAGATTGCAATTGAAAGTAAATTCTATAAACAAAAAACAAAACTAAACCGTTTTCTTCGAAGATCTAGTAAATTTAAAAATAAGCGATGTCCAAGATATTTTTGGAAGTGAAAGCAAACGGACCGAATTTGTGGATGTTTTTTAATCTGTAGACATGTTTATGATATTATAATGAAATTTTTGTTTGCAGTTTTATTGTTTCGCAATTAAATGTGCCAATTCTTCAGTACTTATTTCTTTCTCATTGGTTTCCAAATATTATGACAGTTAAGCAGTTTTTTTTCGTTTTTGTATCTTTTCTGTGGTTGTCAATTTCTTAATTTTTGCAGTAAGTAATAAAATTGTCACTCTCAGAATCTCATATCCACCAGTCCCGGCGTAGCGATTTTGACTCTTATCGTATCACACCCCTATGAAAAATAATATTTAAAATATCCTGTTTTGGCGTTTTCAAAGATTGATCACATACAGTCAACAATAATTCTGGATTTCACTAGATCTCCATGTTTCCTCAACGTGACATTTATCGTAAGTGGCGTGTATTGAAGTGATTAGCAAAATAGTTTTTAACACTTGTGACGATCTTAGTGATAAAGAAATATTAATTTAATTATCTCATTCATCGTGTTTTTCATCAATGTCAACAAATGACATAAAGGGTGTAGATATAAAAATTAATTTTATTTCACACGGTAAAACTTATCAATGTGTTTTATCAGCGCCAGCGTTTACTGTTTTATTTATTTTTTTTTGTCTATGTGTATATACATCAATTTTTGGACCGATCACATAAACAAATCAAACCGACTTTTGTGAATTTTTCTTTCCACGGATCGGCGCCCGCTTCACCTTTATCTCATCTCACACACATATGGGGATTGTTGTTGTTATGTTCTAGCGTGGGTCGTATCGTGGACCGATACATCTCGAATCTCACTCTCAGTGCCTTCCTGAGGCGCACACAACAGCCCGTTTCTGTTAAAACGTACTGTTATGTTACGAGAACCACCATTTGGGACGTCCAAGCGTAGGAATCATTCATATGAACTTTAAAAAACACATAAAAAACGAAAAAAATTTAAACCGAGACCGTTTGACATGTTTTTTGTCGAAACCGAGACCAGAGTAGGATGACGCTGACGTATAAGTACGTCGTGCTTTCTTGCTTTAACTAATTTCTCAGTTAATTCATTCATCACGCTTTTCTCATCCCATAATTTTTGATTTTTGGTTTGTTGAAATTTTCACTGTAGCGACTTTATGCAAGGCGCTATGGCCGTTTGCGTCAGGTCGCTTCTGCATGTTTTCTGAACAAAGAAACAAACACATTGTGATAACCGGTTTGTTGACTTGTTTATGTGCTAACTTGACTTTTAGGTGAACGATTGGTAAGTTCTTGCAATTATTACGAGTCCTTTAATGTATATATTTACTTGAAATTTTGAAAAGAAAAATTTGACGAACCAAAAACTTCTAGAAGGCGTTTTTGCAGTGAAATCCCGACAGGAAACATGTCTTGCAAACTTTCAATCTTATTAACTATTTACGTTGTTGATTGAGTACACACTTTGTCAAGTCGGGGGTAGGTTTTTCACTATTTTGCATGTTTCAGGTTCCGCTGCACAAAGAACCCGGTTGGTTATGGGACACAATTGATAGGTGGCTGAAAACGTGCGAATCTAAGTTGAAAAGTGACGACGTACCCGATTTTATTCGTGACGTCGTTAATGTTGATATAAACGCCGAAGTGGATTGGCTGAAAAAACGGCTAGAGATGGAAAATTGCTCGGTCGTGTTTTGCCATAACGATATGCAAGAAGGAAATATTTTGATACGGCAAGACGGACCAGAAAATAATAACAATGATGACCCTGAAATTGTGGTTATTGGTGAGTTTGTTTTTGTTTGTTGGAGGTAGTAGTTTTTTGCGGGAATACTGATTGGCGAGGAATCTCTAATTGAGTGCGGAAAATTCGACGAAACGGCAAGGTGATTTAGAAATACATTCAGATACGTAATTGGAAGTGGTTGGATTTCCAGTTTGTGATATAACATGTTGCATTGAGTGGAAGAATACTGACATTTAAAATTTCAGAATTCGGCGTACAAATTATTTTGAAATACCAAATATCTTAAAATCTACGCGTCAAATAAAATATTTAATGAATAAACAATGGCTGATATGCATAAAGTTAAGTAAATACTTTATTCTGAAATGTCTAAGTATTACTGGCCTTCATATAAATAAAAATAAGCTTTAACTTAAAGTGCATACTTAATCCTACCTATTTAAAACAAATCTAGTTTTTATTTAACTTTGCAGTAAATGCTCAGTCGTTTATGCATAAAAAACTTTTTGCTTGAAATCATACGTAAGAACTTACGTGATTTAACCGATTGAATTAAATCAAACTGAATCATCTTGCTAGGTGATTCAGGTTTTGTTTTTGCCCCTTGGCTGACAACATCTTATTGAGATCCAAAAGACCGTGTGAAAAAATATTTTAACGAAGAACACACGAGAAATAGTCGTCATCGAAATATGTTTTGGACAATAAATGTATTCAAATTTTATGAAATAATATAGTCGGTACTTGTGCTTTATGAATCCGCTTTGACTTTTACTCTGGACATTCAGATTTTCGCAAAAAAAATCCAAATTGTCTCACAATCGTTTATACTAATAAGAAAAACGGAATGTATTAGCTCAATTGGTTATAACGATCTGCTAATAAAGCGATCACGCCTTCCATACCGTCGCAGATTCGATATCCTCATGGATCGCTTTATTTTTTCTTACACTTTGACTGACGTATGTTTTTTTTTCCATTAAAAAAAATATATCAAGTTTGAAATATTGTCAAATATTTTATAAAAATGTAAACAATACTCGATGTGTCAAAAATAAACGCCACTAAAGAAATAGAAGAAATTATGTTTTAACTGAGGAGAAGAAGTTAAATATCCTATACTGTGCAGAAGTCCGTATGTTTAATTGAAAAAAAAATAGCATTTTTTTTTAATTAAACATAGACTTTATGGTGTATATTTAGAGTTAAAAAAAATACTGTATATGTAATCTATAATAATGGCCGAGTTCAGTAATAATAGCACATCATCGACGCACTGCATAAATGACTTTATTTAAAATATTGAACGTATGTCACAGACGCTGCTTCCTTTTGGGTGCCTCTCGTCAATATATTCTTCAACAGTTTTCTCATATTATCACGGACTTAAATAAAACAGTATTTATAGATTTTCTCTCGTATTCACAGTCTTCTTTTTGATAAAGCTTGCCGTGAACTTTAGCACCATTCATTCATAATTTTTTTGCCATTTTCTATTTGCGACAGCTCCAAAGTGCACTTGTCGGATTAATTTAGTCCTTGTATCAGGAATTAAGATCTGCTTATGGTCAACAAAAGTCGTGCGCTCTGTTAAATCCTGTTCCAGTTCTTGTTTATATTCACTTTTTTTTATCTTAAATACATGTCCCAGAATTGGAATTTAACAGAAGTTAAAAAATGCGACGCAGTAGCCGTCTTTATAAAAAACAACAGAGCGCATGTCTATAGAATTAATAAGTTGAGAATAGTTATTTACATTATGAGTGCGGTAGGTAACATTTTGCAGGTTGAGGTCCTAATTTGCCACCCGACGCGAAGCGGAGGGTGGCATGGGAGCGAAACCTGCAAAATGTCTAACGCACGAAAATTGTATTCAATTTTTTCGCTGACATTGATTTTACTTTAAAAAATATTTGTTTTTAAAAGTATTTTTCGAAATGGAAATAATGAAGTGACAGTTTATAGACTTGACGTTTACTGAAGGAATCTATAATACCGGCAGCCACGAGATGGCGCCATGTGATTTTTTTTTAATAATTCATTTTTTCTAATTCAAAAGTTTTGATCGAACAAAACATGATGTAAAGTAGTATTCTAGTATGTTTTCTTTTATTATTTATACAGAAATTTTTTTATTAGAGCTTCTAGAGGCTAATGCATATTGAATTACTTTGGCACCCAAAGGCGGTAAAGCAACGGTAAATTGATATTTGGTGCGTAAAGTCATTGTTACGCGGCCTGTCAAAGGTGTATGAATGTTTTGTTTACATGTCAGGAGGCGAAATAGTATATTATTAGCCAAGGTTGCAGAGCCAAGCATTCTAGACCGAGCGCAAATTAGAACCCGAGACGCGCAGCGTCGAGGGCTCTGAGGCGCGAGGTCTAGAAGTGGCTTTGCAACCGTGGTTAATATACTATTTTTTTCACTAGTAGAAACCATAAGACAATAAACTGAAAAAATAAACGTTCAATTTTTTGACGCAACATGATTTTGTTTTGATTTCTAATCAAACTTAATCTAAATCTTCAACACAAAGAAAACCGTTTATACTTGTCGCTGAGTTAATCATTTTACCTTCCACCGTCTACCAACTACCATGCGTATACTCAAGTAATGTTTGTAGCACACATTTGTTCATTTTTTAAGAAATAATCACATCAAACATTGCGTGCATAACCTCAATTTTTCTTTTTGAACCGGTGGTCGCAAAAGTTGAATTTGCTACCACTAAATGAGTCGACATTTGCATGCGTCATGGCTGCTAGTGAAAAAAAACATTTTTAAAACATTGCTCTATTTAATCCAATAGTAGTCACAAATTGGAAAAACTTGTAGTAAACCAGTACATTTCAAAATTGTTTGTGGCGGTTTTAACTGTTCCTCTTTACGTACATTTTATTTTATATTGAGAATGGTGTAATATTTCTATCAATAAATTTAAAGCATCTACTCTTCTGCTTCACAGATTTTGAATACTGCTCATACAACTACCGATCCTTCGATATCGCCAACCATTTCATGGAGTGGATGTACGACTACACTGAACCCGAATATCCCTTCTACAAAGAACAACTAGACCATTACCCCAGCAAGCAGCAGCGGCTACTGTTTATCAAAGCATACCTAGAAGCCAGAGGCTTGAAAGAGAATCCCAAGAAAATCCTGCGAGAGGTGGAAGTGTTCAGTTTGGCTTCTCACTTCTTCTGGGGAATTTGGGGGATCATCAACGCCGGAACGTCGACCATACCTTTTGGGTATTGGGAGTACGGAGCTGCGCGGCTGAAGAATTACTTCCAGCAGAAGAAGAAATTTGCGTTGGACATGACATCGTTGGGAACCTGTTTGCCCACGAAGAGGAAGAGTTGCAGTTTGGAGTGAATTTCGGTTAAAGTCAAATTGTACTTCCGTTTTTAACTTTCGACTAGTCGTCTGAAGGTTGTAAAAAAATTAAGGCTGATGATCTTCACGTGATATTAGTATCAAATGGCTAAAGCTTGAAATGTATGTACCTAATACGAAACCCGTGATTTTGTTAATAGTACGACCATCACTTTTTTGTCAATTCGGGCACGAATTATCTACATTTTTACACTTTCTAGCACACAAGTCGATACTAGAAGATTATTGATCATGTTGGCTTTAATTCCATCATTCTTATTGAATTTTTTTAGGAAAAATGTACTTAATATTCATGGCTTACCGGTGGCTGAATCTTAAATGCATTTGTTGAATTTTTTATTCATTCGTATATACGTGTATATAAGTTATTATGTTGTCATATTATTAAGATGATTTTATCTTTTGTAAATAATTTATTTTAATAAATAATAAGTATGGGAGAACATTTTATTTTCCTAGTTTGATCGTTCTCCGTATAGTAAGCAAATACCCAGACGCAGGACAGGAATCGAACCCGCGATCCAAGGTCTAGCGGGTAGGCGTGAGGTCAACTCATCCATCAGCGGATTCATTTTTGATTTCATGTAATGTGATAGCCGTCACTGTTCGCATTATCAGCCGCCATTCTGACGTCAATATATCTCATCCGCCTCCATTTGTTGCACTGATTTCAGATTGTTGTGTTTTTCAATTCCATGTAATAAAAAACAGACGTTAAGAGATTACCAAATATTATTAGTATGCGTTTCGACATGCATGTGTCAACATGTGTTATCCGCCAGGCTTCGGCATCACGGAAGTGATGCTCATTGCCGCCCGATTGCCAACGCTACAGCAGTCGTGGCCACGTTTGTTGGCACGACGTCGGGAATTCCTAATAACAATGACTACTTTTTCTAGGTTTTCCTCAGTTATACAAGTTCTCCTAGATGTTAAAACTGTCTTAAAAATTAAAAGTGACCGTTCATCACAGTTTTCGTTATGATCTTGATCAGATAAACCCTGAACTGAAACCAATGCCATTGAGTGAGACTACGCTGTCGTATTTAATATTTGTCTGATTGATTCTCCATCACTTTGGTTTTGACTAACTGTGGTTATCACTATTAACAGCATAAAACATACTGTATTTTTGATAACCAATATAGTTATCCTGGGTATATGCTCGGAATGTATACAATGATGCGTTTACGGTCATACAGATCAGGGACTTTCATGTTGTGATGAATAATTGTTGTAATGATTAAGATTTTCAATCTGGCGAGAATAAAGTTTAAATCATTATTTACATTTATTTCAAAAGCGGGATTTTGCGGTAAGGTTCGGACAATAAAAGTAAAATACTTAATTTAATTATCAACTATAATAATTTATAAATACAGCACTAGAATTAAAACAAAAATATACAATAAAACAAGAAAAATAAAAACAATATATTAGCAGTCTAAAAATTATTTAAATAACAGTACAATTTTTTCTTCATAATAGCTATTTCGCATAATATCATTTATACAGAGCATTATTTTTTGAAGTTTTCTGTTTCATTAAGATTATTACTTCAGATCTATGACTAGATACTTCAAGTACTTTAAAAAAATATCGTACTTGTTATGACTAGATTTCGACTCATTCATTACTTAAGTAACCTGTTTTTCAATAAATTTAAAATCGACATTACTTTGATAAGAACCCAAATTCTTTAATCGTGAAACCATAACAAAGAAAAAAAAAAAACAAAATCGATGTGCTCATATTCACCGATTAAAGAATTTGCCGACAACAAACATAACGCATAATATAAAAATTCTCCTCCCCTAATAAATAAAAATCACAATAATAATCAGAACCGAACATTATCTACAGAGAGCAACTCAGAACGACAAACAGCAGAAACCGCCCCCCTCCCCATCACTGAAATTCCCCTGAAATTTTAACAGATAAGCTACGAAAAGGCAACACGTTCTGAACAGCGCTTAAAAACTCCCATTAAATATATCCTATTTCTCAATGTTCCTGTTCAAAATATGTACACGACGAGTTCGAAGATCGTGCGCTTTTGTTTACTATGTGACGGGCCTGAATCGGCGGCACCTGACTTGACTCTCCGCTGGCGGTTCGCCGGTCGGGGGTGGTGGGGGTGGGGGGCCCTCTGATGTGTCGGGGGAGCTCTCGGGGGCACCTATAAGACAAGTGGGGATGCCTCGGGCCGGCTTCACACCTACAAACCACCAGGGGTGGGTAAGAGCATTCACACAAAGGGAAAAACTAAAAGAGAAAAGAAAGAGGAAAATAAACTAAAATATTACTTTATGTCCAACGATTACCCTAGTCAAATACTTTTCACTGGACATTCACTTTTCGTGTTTTATTGATCACCCAAAGCTCAGTTAAGTTATCTACCTACGTAATCGATCAATTATACACTGCGTCGATTTTGATAATGTTTAATTTTCGAGACATCTGTATGATTGTTACTAAACTTGTTGAGTTAACTAATTAAGTTCATTACAATATTTCTTTTACTAAGAGAAATAATAAAAGGTGACGTCATCAATTTTACAGAGGCGATGAATAAATCAACTTATTATTTTCAGATCACTTCGTGTACATAAACCAAAAATAGAAGTAAACTACTAAACTACAGATAAAGGAGCATTCTACGCTGCCCTTTTAAGTAGATTTAATCCACCCTTATCATTAATAAGCAAAATGCGGAATATGTGTGGCGGACTTAAAGCCACACATGTACTTTCTGATGACATCACATTGTTTGGAGGAGTTGAAGAAGTTTGCGTTTTAATTTGCACAATAAGTTTAAAGCACCTAAAATTTCAAAGCAATCGTTGTGGTGCGAACAACCAACCCGAGCAACATAAAAACAGAGACAGATAAAATACCTATCTCAATTTATCCACTCCACGTTTTTGTGAATGTAATTAAATGAATATGTTTTTATGGCGCTTTGCGCTTGAAGAGAGACGACGATTAGACGAAAACAACAAACCAACAGTTTCGTATTCTCCAAGTTGTGAAATGCCAAGGAAACAAAATTAGACATTTCTTAAAATGTTTTTTTTTTTACAATTCATCCCTTCTTGTCAAGCGCTCGGGAGTAAAATATGTGTTTCTTCCCCACCAGAAATGTGATTACGTCATTTCAAAATTTTGTTAAATAAATCCCATCTAAAATGTGAAATATATGTGTGTCTCAAAAAATTAACGAATGAAAAATTTATTTTATTGATTAAATTAAAAAAATATCGGATTTCACTTAAAAAAAAATCAGTGTGGCGTAATAGCTTAAAAAGTGGTTGGCGTCACGAACAAATGTTGAAATTTAAAAAGAGCGTAATTATAAACAAAAATTGACCCGCTTCGGCCTTTTCGACAAATACCATAATTTTTTACCTAAACTATAAGATAAGATGATAGACCCGTATTTTTTTAATAAAAAATTCTCTTCAAAAAAAATTACAGGAAAAAAAACCTGATATGCATTCATACTTCTGTGAGACAGTCGGGTACTGTTTAAACTGCTTAGATATATTTTTTTTCAGATAATGAATATAATGATCAATTTAAAATGGTAATATGGTAACAAAGTTTTGACAATTTATTCTAAGAACTTGATGGACGTTGTCTATTTATGTGCGTGGAAAATTATAATATAATCATTTGGACTCTATTTAAAAATTTACAATAAAATGTTCACTGTTAAAAAAAAAAAGAATGACTCCCAGAAAACGATCCAAAATTGACGCCTACAAAAGTATGTTTAAAATCAAAAAAAAATTATCATTATGTGAGTCTTGCTTAAGATTAACATAAAAATGTTAAAACGCTAACTAAAATTTGTTTGTTTTGCTCCTACTAACAAATTGATGCGATCATCTCACAAAACCTGAGATGTATTGTATCAGTGGGTTTTTATTAATTTAAAACTGCTACTACAGCATGTCTCAAAAAATTTTATAAACCGATCTACTACATGAAACATTACATCTAATTTCACTGGAACTACAAATGCAGTTAACAATGTGATCGGTTACATATCAAAATCAGTACATTTAATTTTAAGTATCAGTACTACTAGGTCTTGAGATACGGTATTGTTTGTGTTTCAATAATACATACTTTACTTTTTAGAATTAATTATATATGTACAATTACAAAACATATCATTTGTTTTACTAGTTCGATTTTTTGAGAAGCGCCTCATCCAATTTCCCTGAAATTCTGAGAGTATTATAATGTAGTGATATTATGTTTAGTGTTACACTGTACATATTTAAATGAACAGATTTATTCCCAGCAAAAAGTCATTTCGCATCGTTTGGCAAAAGTAATTCCTTGTTGTTTGAGACATATGTGATGTTGAGTGTTCTGCAGAGTTGAGAAAAGTAAAATTTCAATAACTTTACTAAAATGAAAATGAAATCTACTTTAAAATATTTTTTAATAACATGGTTAAAAATAAGTTTTTATACGTGTTGTGTATTAGATTCTAATAATGTATGTTGATATTGCATGGTTAGGAAAGTGATGAATTGATTCCGACTTGTTGATAACTATCACGGCATTTTTATTCCAAAAATATATTGAAGCATGAACTGGGTTCAGTTACTAAAAAACAATAAAAAACAGTAACAAACACCAACTGGGTCTTGCATGAAAATTTGTCCACACAGGAAAAACACAACAACAAAAAATATCAAAAAAGCTTTACTGAACACTAGAATGTCACAGAGCCTTAACTTTGGAATCTGATAGTCAGTACTGGTTCAGTTTCTATTTAGTCCACCTGTTGTTTTGCTTTTTGAAACACCCAAAACTACATAGATCTGTCTTTCGTCAAATAACAATCGCACTTCACCTAAATTTTAAGCTTTGTGAGCTTACCCTTTATGGGGTCTCCACGTTTTATTTGAACAATTAATCCATGACGTATGAGTGGCAAACATAAAATAACCTTACTCCTGAAATAAAATTTATGATAATATCAAGTTACAAATTCATATATTTTTGAGAAATAATTATGTTTTTAGAACTATTTATTTAAACTTTTCTTTTGTAACAAATTTAATTAAACCTAAAAGATAAACTGAGTTTATATTTATTTAGTTGGAATGATTTGGACAGTTAGAAGGAGAAAAAAATCTAGTAGTACCTGCAATAAATACAGGCTGATCAAGAAGTACTCTTTGAGTTAGTAATAAAACTAACCAATTCTGACAAAAATTTCTTTTGTTGCTATTGCCAAACCTGATTCAAATGCTTCGCGCTATGTCACTGATACAGTACTTGTTGATCGTGCTCTAGGTAGTTGTCATTTGTCATTATTTCTCTAGTGCAACAAACTGCCCGAGTGCGGTCCAGAATAAAACACACAAAACCCTTTAGCAAGCTCAAATTTGAAAATTAATTTTATCTGAACCGAAAATATTACAATTTTCAACGTTACTCCTACAATAGTATTGACTTAACAATTTCTTGTTCTACGACTTAACTGGACCTTGGGTAATTCAAACAGATTAAAAAATTAACTTTCGTGCCATGCAGTTCACACAAAGTTAAACATTTTAGCTTAGTTTCTGGTAAATGTATTTTGGTATTCAGAGTTCAAAATTGAATTTTACTGACGAATTAACGTTCCGCAATTTTGACGTTCCTCTTTAACAACTTTGTGCAACAATAAATAACAGTGGTCCAATATCTAACAAATTTCAAAAAATAAAAATATATTCCCATGCTTAATCGATGATCGAAGCAATGTTTGATTAAACCTTCGGAAATTAAATAAACTGTGTTATTTCAACCATCCCACTTAAATAATCTGTGCATGCTTTAAATGCTGGTGGCACTCAATTTTGGTAGTTTGCCTTTTAATTTTACAGCCTTGTGGATCAACGAAGTTAGGAATCTTCGTCAAACTGCGAAAATTATAACTGGTGTCCTGCAGATCATCGAAGTTAATCAACGGTCACAATTTCGACAACTTTATTAACAAACAGATACACTCCACAGTTTAATAGGCTACCAGGACGTAGGACTCACCTCCTGCAGTTGAGTGTCTTTTGAACCTGAGATTCAACTGGCTCGGATCTGTCACGTATTTTTCAGCCTGACGACGTCTACGTAATCCGGGCGTTAAATCGCCGGACCACGACATACACTTCGCTAATCTCTGCCCACCCACCGCCACTGGAATTTTTGAGATCCTGGTTGGGTCCATCGCTGGGCTAGTCTGAACACCAACAACTTTATTATAGACAATTCCATCAATCAAACGTCTGCGAAAAGGTTACAAGTCCTAACTTACGTTAATACACCGTTCGTGGAGAGCAATTAAAGTGTTAGTAAATTGCTATATTTAACCGTAAGGAGAAAGTTCGTGTGTTATGTAGTTTATTCGTAACTTTTTACTTAACTGAATGTAAGATATGGAGGCATGTATTGTAATAAGTTCCATTTTATGAATGGCTAATTTCATGTTAGAATAAGATTCGGCCCGATTTTTTATCTAAAATCAACTATGGCATTGCATCAATAGAGAGCTCGTTTTTGTGATGTGTCTTCACAAACTAGGAATATGAAAATGGTTTATTTATTTTATTGTCATTATATTTTTTTGCCTATTCTGCGCAAGTCTAAATCATTTTAATACTAAATAAAGTTATTTCTTACACTAATTACTCTCCGAAATTAATCTAACGATTCTTTAAATTAATGTTTCTAGTTAACAGTTTTTCAAATGATTTGACTTTTAATTTTTAATAAAGTTGCACAAACGACCAATTCTGGTTTGGGCGAGTCCACTTTCAAATTTAAGAGGTGCTTTCAGCTGTCACAGTCAGCTGTTTTATAGTGGTGTGACTGACGTTGCTGTTTTCGATTTCGTCCGTGTACGGTGATTTATTATTATTATTCTATATTTATGGTTGATAAAATCAGTTCTTTTCAGAACTATAGTTCCTTTTGCAGGTGAAGTAAATAATTACTGGAATATTTTTTTACTATTTTCAACATTTACGTCCGCAACAATATTTTTCATTGATCCCTAAAAGAACAAAAATCTCGACGTCTACTATAGTGCGTTGAACGTTTACTGTAAGTTCTAATTATTGCACCAAGGTCAGTAATGACACCTGGTGTAACGTGCTATAAAGCCCTAGAAGACCGTTACACAACGCGACGTTAAAAAAAAATTTGTATGTCCGTTGGCCGATTCTCTACTTTTATGTTTTCTCGACCCTTCATGACCCCTACAGTACGAAGAAATATGTCTCCCGTTTTCGTCTGTTTGTCTGTCCGTCTGCTTGTCTGTCCCTCAGTCCATCTGTCTGTCGTCCCGGATTTATATTAGACAGATAGTCTCCGAAAGTACTAGGCACATTGTTGTTAAATTTTGGATCTATATTTGGAATATCATATAGGTGGTAAAACGCTAACAAAAATTTGTGTAATCATCGCTACTTCAAAATTGTATATAATAAATCAGTTTTATATTGTGTAAAATAATATAGTCTTATTACACATGTACTTTATAACCCCGTGTTGAGGTTTTGCCCGAAACGTCCAGATTTAAAAAAGTAAATAAAAATTATAAAACAAGATTTTGAATTTAATTTCGAATCTGCAAAAGTAAATGCTTTGAAGTCTGCAGATGTTTTAAAGTTATGATAAGCATGATAAATTTTTAATCAAAATATCCCTTATCCCCTCCAAAAAATTGATGACGTCAGGTCAAAATTTTGTCTAACAAATCCCATCTAAAATGTACAAAATATGACGAGTCTGTACTTGTGTTTTATAATTCCATTCATATTTTTTGGAATTGCTTATTTATACAGGTAACCCCAAAAAAATAATGAATGCATGAATTTATTTTATTGATTTAATCAGGAGCTACAAAACGGAATCCTTTGAAATCTTGGAGGTTTTAAAGTTATCATAAGCATGGTAAATTTTTGATCAAAATGTATTTGTCCATCCCCCCTAAAAAATTGATGACGTCACCTCAAAATTTTGTTGAATATATCCTATCTTAAATGTGCAAATTATGATGAGTTTATATGTACTTGTAATTTATCGATGCATTAATATGTTTTAGATTTGGTTATACAGGTGTCTAAAAAAAAAAATAATAATAATAATGACTGAGTCAATTTATTTTATTGATTAAATTAAGAATTGCAAAATGGAATACTTTGAAATCGTGCAGACGTTTTGAACTTATTGTAAGCTTGGTAATTTTTTGATGACGTTATCTTAAAATTTTGAGTTTGTTTCAGCTTTACTCCGCAATTTTCGTACCTGTATATTTTGCGTATTATACTCATTTCTTTTGACAATAAATATGTTTACTATCAATTTTTTTTAACCTATTGCAGGACTTCGTTCCACTGTATTGATTTTTACTTCCTAAGCGTAAGTTACGGAAGTATTGTAATCGAATCCATCGGGCGACTGGCTACTTTTGTTTTCTGGGCGTGTAATGACTCCTAGAGTAGCAATAAAAAGATAATCTTCGAAACTACTGAACCTATTGTTGTCAAAATGACTAATTTTTCAGGGTCCAAGACAAAGCTGTAAAATTTGCTTTTGTAAATTTTATTTTTACTTACTAAGCGGAAGTTAAGAAGTTATTGAATCCGGCGAATGACTACTTCCATATTTTTTCGACGTTTCGCCGCCTTGAGTAGGAAAAAATAGGTTTCCCGTTTCTGTCTGCCTGTCTGTTGTCTGCAGTCTATGTCGATTTTTATCACACAGATAACATCCGAAAGTACCGGAGCTATTGTATAAATCAATTAATGTTATTAAATATATCAGAAACTGCAAAACCGAATGCTTCGAAATCTTGCAAACGTTTTGAGGTTATTGTAAGCATGGTAAATTTGTATCTGTTTATCCCCCCCCCCCCCCCCATGATGACATCACCTCAAAATTTTGCCGAATGAAACCTATCTAAAATGTAGTAAATTTGATGAGTCTATTAAACAATGTAAAGTAAAAACTCATTTGAAACAAATGCGTAGCACGCTTCTTGAGTTTTTATAAGAAAATAAAATTTGCAACATCAAATTTTATAGTTTTTAAAAAATGGTGTTTCATTGTACTTCAGGTGCAAGGAAAGTTCTGTCGCAACACCCTTCCACCAATTTTTTCTTTGCGCTATGGTGATGACGTCATCACAAATTTTTTATTGATCAAATTAAGAACGAAGCACCCATTTCCTTAAAAATGTGAGAATACGCACGTCTTTATTTAATAAGGAAAAAAATTGGTCAAAAGTTGTCTCGACAGAACTTCCCTGTATACGCAAATCCAAAAAATAGGAATGGAATGATAAATCGCAAGTACAGATTCATCATATTTCGTACATTTTAGATAGAATTTATTCAGCAAAATTTTGGAGTGACGTGTATCAACTTTTTTGGGGGGATGAGCAAATACATTTTGAGCAAAAATTTACCATGCTTATGATAACTTTAAAACATCTCCAAGACATCAAAGCATTCGGTTTTGTAGTTCCTGATTAAATCAATAAAATAAATTCAGGCATTCATTAATTTTTTTGAGTCACCCTGTATATGCAAATCCAAAACATATGAATGAAGTGATAAATCACAAGTACATACTCATCATATTTATAGATGGGATTTACTCGGCAAACTGACGTCATCAATTTTTTGGTTTATTTTGATTAAAAATTTATCATGCTTATCATAACTTTAAAACATCTGCAAGATTTCAAAGCATTCGAGTAAAAACTCAATTCGGAATCATAAACTACATGTATAGGACTAACAGTCCATAGTCCTAGACTATGTTATGTTATACAATTGAAAACCCATTTACTACGTACAATTTTGAAGTGACGTCATCACATTATTGATGAGGATGATTAGAGAAAATTTGGTTAGCGTTTTACCATCTACATGATTCTTAATACACATATCAAATTTGACAACAATCGGTTCCGTGGTTTCGGAGATCCAATAAAAATCTGGACAGATGGCCGACAGACAGATGGAAACGAGAGACCTATTTCTTCGTACTTTAGGGGTCATGAAAGGTCGAGAAAATGTAAAATTTAAAGTAACATGTTTAAAGACTTTGCCTTGATTTTAAGAAATATAAAAGTCAATTTCGGCTAAACCTTCGGAAAAACACATACAATTCAAGATTGAAGAATTTAAAAAAGTAACATTTTTAACGATTTCGCTGTTTTTTAAAAAGTCCAAATTTTAAGGATTCTGTCCAGTTTTTAAGAAATATAAAATTCGATTTTGGCTAAAAAAAATTCACCTTCAGAAAAACAGTTAAAATTTCTACACTGTTTTTGAAGGTATATTTAAAAAGCAACATTTTCAAACATTTAAAAAATTGGTCGAAAGTTGTTTCGACAGAACGTCCCTCGCTTCTAAAGTACAATGAGACATATGCAGCATTCTCGAGTGTTTATTTATGTTTATATATCGAAAGAATGTCACGTAGAAATTAGTTTGATTTGAATTAAACCACAATCGAGCAAAATGATCTGAATATTATAAAAACAGCCAAAATACGGAATCTAACCACTATCTGGCGAATGTCGTACGGCTTCATTGAACATCTCCGCGATCTCGACTCGCCGTTGCGCCACAACTACTCCTGTCCGGTATTGGTAATATAAGCCTATTATTGAACATTGGAATTGTTTTTTCGAAAATTTGAACGTTTAGCGAAAAAACTGAAAACGGATTCGTACACTACAAGTATAGGAGTATATTTTTATATAACATTAAAATATTTTAAGACAGGATTCAATGAAATGACGTCATCGAATTGTTGGTAGGGATGATTATACAAATTTTGGGTAATATATAACCATCTACATGATATTTCTAATATACATACAACATTTGACAACAATCGGTCCAGCAGTCTCGGAGATTACTTGTCTAATAAAAATGGATACAGAGACCAGACAGACGGAAACGGGGGACTACTTTTTTCGTACGGTAGGGGCCATGAAACATCCAGAAAACATAAAAGTGACACTTCGTCCGATGAACTCGATTACTATACTTCCTTAGCTTACGCTCGGGAAGTAAAAAGTAACATTTTTGACGATTTTACCCTGTTTTTAAAGTGTATTAAAAGAGTTAAAATTCCCCTTCGGCTTATGAGGAGTCTTTCACTAGTGCTCCGCACATTCCGCGTGACTTCACATATGTATAGCACGTTAAATTTTTATTTAACAATTTTTACTTAATTTTTTGGTGTTTGAAAACAGTTTTTTGATTTGAATTCTAGTATCAACGGACCACACCAAGACTTTTCTGAGTTCACTACGCTTACTTTTTAAAAAAGGTAAACTGTCCAGACAAATAAAAAAATTTCAAAGCACTGCCGACGTTCGTTGCCCCCTTTCTTAAATCTCTTTTTCATGCTCTGTTAACATATACGGACGGAATGAACTTAAAATGAGTCTCTTCATCTATGCAATAAATTTTTCCGATACTTCTCCACGATCACATTTAGTTTATATTTTAAACATTGTTCGTTTCAACAAAGTACTTACCGACGATTCCCTCAAAATTTGGCTGGCATTATCCACCCCACTATCCTCATCATCCTGCTCGTGCCTCTGTTTATCCCTAAACAATGGATTTTCCGTAGCATCAAAGTATTCCGACTGTTCGTCCAGTCCAGGACTCAATCCGTTTGCCATTAACCGTTTTTCTCTACAAAAACAAAACATTAAACTTCCATTCGACCCTTTTTTCCTACAAACTCCATTACTTTAGTTCGGACGTGGCTGAAACAAACGTAACAGCCGGATTCGTCGTGAGATCCACCGACGGCGAACACTGTACCCTGTCTTGTTTAACTTCTAAATTACTTTTCTTCTCTAACGCGTTCCTTGCATTTTTTAAGTTCTGTTCGATTTTGTCCTGAGTGCTGGAACTGCTCTCGGACGCCGAATGCCCCAAATTGTTTTTAATTTTCTCTAAAGGTTTCGAAACTGCCTTCTGCGAATTACTCCGGCTTAGAGGCGGCTCAGCCGGTTGATTGATGTTGGAATTCGAGCCGCTTAAAGACAATCGTGGAGACTTCAGTCTCGGTTTTTCCACATTTTTATCTGAATTTTTCTGTTCCGTTTCCGAACTACTCGATTCTGATTCTTCGCTCTTTTCGGGTTCTTTAGTTTCTACTTTTACTTTTTCGGGACTGGGAGATTTCGATTTCGGTGACTTGACTTTTTCTTCTTCTTTCTTTTCGATGTCCTCTTCTAGATCTTTCTTTGTCACTGTGATTATTTCTTTCTGGTTGATATCGTCGCCTTCTAAACTTACTCGTTTTTTTACAGGGGTATCAGTCACGTCGGGAGCGAAGGTTATCTGTTCGCGTTTCGGACTGTGTATTTCCTGTCCTTCGTTCCGTTCTTTGCTACTCTGTTTCAATATACTCTTTGTCCTTTCTAGCTTAATTTTCGGCCTCTCGACTTCCTTGGTTTGTGCTGGCTCTTCCGGAGGGTTTTCCACTACGTTCGATTGGAGAGTTTGAGGTCTAGGAACATTCTCTTTTGGCACGACACGGATTTCCAATTTTCCCGCAACCTGTAAAGAGTTTACAGTTTATAGTTGTCTCTAGATTTATTTAACGGGTACAACAAATTTAAAACGGTTCAATTGTTAAAATGACCGGCAATATTACTAGCGGTTTACGAGAAAATAAGCTGAAATTTAGTCTTGCCCTAAAAAATAATAAAAATATAAGTTCATTAAAACTTTAAATTTTGTTCTTCAGGTGATAATTCCCTTATTACATGAGATGTGGCGATGCCATAAAAACATACTTTGACGACAAATTGAGGATCATGCAGAGAAACTAAACTAAAAGTTATTTTCTACGAATTGCAATAACCGGATCACAATGCCAATGGTCCAGACTTTTTTCGACTTCCGCTTATTAGTGTTATTTATTACTGGTATTACATTGCACATACTGAAATTGATATATGTTTTCTTCATAAATGAAAGCTCTTGAAAGTTTTGATGACGTCATCACAAAATTTTGTTATGCAAAAACTCACTTATCTTTGTTAACTTACAGGGGTTATCATAAAAAATAAATTTGCAAAATTTAATTTTATAATCTGTTGGTTCGCTTGTGAAGGAAGGGAGGTATTGTTTATGTGTTTCTCATTGTCCTTTAATTCATATGTAAATACTGTTGGACCATAAAGGTTGTTATTATTAAAGCTTGTCTTCTGTCAAAATTCTAAACAATTACTAGTAATAATTCGAAAAAATCTACACATTACATGCGACTGTAATACCTCTTGTAAGCCTTCGTCTTCGCCGTTTTGATCCTCGACCTCGTTACTCTTGAGTGCTTCCTTATCGTTAAGATTCATAGACGGCAAACTGCTCCATTTTGACGTTTCGACCAGTTTCGGTTCCTGTTCTTCTTCGTCTTGGAGGTGTCGTGAGGCAACGTTACGCATTACGTCTACTCTGAACACGAGATCGTCGAAAGCGGCTTGCTGCAAAAGAGGCGGTTTGAGACCTGATCTGACGTAAGGGCCTAAAGACGGAGTCGACCAAGCTCTCGGAAGTCCACCTGAAAACAAATTTTATTATTTAGGACAATAACATTTTTTTCTTATAATTTTCTATTCAATTTCAAGTTCAAATAAAACAAAGCACAAATAGCGTACACTTTGTGATAATTACGGTTCGGAAGCATGCAAAATGTACATTAAATGCATGTTTGTGCCTTCCCCAAGAAAATCGAATAATTTAAATGTAAAATAAATGTAGGATATTCTGCAAATTCCCGACGGCGTTAATTTTCAACTCAATTTTTTAGATTTGCTTATACAAGGTCACTCAAAAAAAAAAAAATTAACGAATCAGTCAATTTATTTTATTGAAGAAATCAAGAATTGGAAAACTGAATACTTTGAAATCTTGCAGATTTTTAAGCTATTGTAAGCATGGTAAATTGGTAATCAAAATATATCTCTTTATTTCTCCAAAAAATTGATAACGTCATCTCAAAATTTTACCGAATAAATTGTGCAAAATTTGATGAGTTTTTACTTGTGATTTTTCACTGCATTGATATTTCTTAGATTTGCTTAAGTAGGTGGTTCAAAAAAATTAAAGCATGGGTCAATTTATTTTCTTGATTATATCAGGAACGGTTCACTCCTTTTTCAGAGTATTTTTAGTATTACACTGCACCAATCCAAGTTGATATACGCATCCTTGCAAAAATGTTGATGACGTTATCACAAAATTGTGTAAAGAAAAAACTCACTCGAAAATACTGAGTATGTTCCATTGTACTTTTGGTGCGTGGAAAGTTCTGTCGAAACAACTTTCGCCCAATTTTTTAAATTTGCTAGGGGTCCGTATTTAGGTATCAGAAAATTATGCTGTTTTGGAAGACACCTCATTATTTCATATTCGCAAAAAAAAAAAAAAAACTTAGCGCAGCCCCGAGATGACCTCGTTAGCTAATACCATCACCATACACTACGACGAAAATCACATCTACCGCATCAAACGCTTCTTATTGATTAACGATCAAAAACGTCTTTCCCGTACAATATCTTCCATCTCCGGAAGCACCAGGTATGGCTGACTATTAATCACTAATTCCTACGAATCAGACCTTAATAACAAAAAAAGTTCAGGCTGTACGCCTCCATAGAATTTTTGAGATATGATGGCCATTACATCTCATCGCGTTATGCCTTAATCAATCACGACTAACTAAATTCTCTTGTAGCCAACTTCCAGATTACTGCATTATATCTTATCTGTCAGGTATGGTTATAAATCCACTTAAATTATTGTGATATTTTAACATGTTGTCCTAAACTAATTTTACTTTATAAGTCAATTCCCAACTTCATAGAACACCAGCTTACATCCACACAAAATTGAACTTTAGCCCTGTTTGCATAACCGAATTTCGCAATAACAAGTCGCAAAATAAACATACTAAAGCTTCAGACTGTTCAGAGTTAGATAGGGCTCATAAAATTTAATAAACTTGGAGGGAAGCTAATAGCATCTATCCCAAAATCAGCATGTTTGCGATCCTAATATAACACTTCAGAGACACGCACAGGCACATTAAACTTTTTTATTTAGTTTGTGTGGACCAACCAAGGGCGTTATGTGTCTCATAATGGAGGCGTAATTGGTGCTCGTTTCGCTCACAAACTGAAAATTAATGCTAAAATATACTATGATTACATATGGCGGTCGGTTTTGGACAATAGTATTTCGCTTGTACATATCTCATGACTTCAAATTTTGTCAATACTGAAATACTACTTTTGGACTAAAGTCTTCTAGTTCACACCGATGCAGATCCGATGAATATAATGTCCATTTAGTTTGTCAAAATTCTTTGGAAATACACCCACTTTAAGTGTTAACGGTTTAAAATTAATTTATAAGGTTGAGTAAATTTGATTCCACTAAATGTCAGCGGTGTCCACCTGTGAAGATATTTTTATCTTTGATAATATTACTGACACAATGTTTTTCTACAGTAAAATTTCTATTTCTTCCGACTCGACACCAATGCAAATTCAGGTTTATAAAACTGTAAAAATAAACTAAATAACTAACCGCTTGGCCAATGAAGAGTTGAATCTTAAAACATATAAAAACGGAATTCCTGTCATTGTCTCACCTTTAAAATGAATGCACCCAACAATAATTCTACCATCATTAATAGTTACTATCAAAATACAAGGGGTCTTCTCAAATCCATCATTTTTCTATCCTAAGCTAAGGAAGTCTAGTAATAGTCACCCGTTTCCGTCAGTCTGGTGTCTGCATCCATTTGTATTAGGCACGTAATCTTCGAAACGACCGGACCGATTGTAGTCAAATTTTGTATACATATTCGGAATATCATGTAGATGGTTAAACGCTAACCAAAAATTTTCTACTCATCCCCATCAATAATGTGATGACGTCACCTCAAAATTGTACATTGTAAATGGGTTTTAAATAGCATAAAATAAACTAGTCATACAAGTGTAGTTTCTGAATCCGTGTTGAGTTGTTACCCGAAACGTCACCAATTTTTGAGGGAAATAAACAGATCTATTTCGATTCCAAATTTACCATGCTTACAATAACTTTAAAACGTCTGCAAGATTTCAAAGCATTCGTTTTTGCAGTTCCTGATTTATTTAATAAAATTAATTGACTTATTCATTAATTTTTTTGTGTGAGCTGTATAAGCAAATCTAAAAATATTAATACTATGATAAATCAGAAGTATATATATATTAATATTTTGCACATTTCGACCAAATTTTGAGAAGACGTCATCAATTTTGCGGGGAGAGGGGGATAAGCAAATATATTTTGATATACAAATTCCCATGCTTATGATAACTTTAAAATATCTGCAAGATTTCAAAGCATTCGGTGTTGTAGATACAAAATTAAATTGGCAAAATGTTGTTACATAATTTTGATTTTTTCAAAAAATCTTGACGTTTCAGGTAAAAACTCAAAACTACACGTGTATAATTTTGAAGTGACGTCATCATTTTACTGGTGGGAATAATTAGACAAAGTTTGGTTAGCGTTTTACCATCTACAAGATATTCATAACACACTTATAAAATTTTACAACAATCGGTCTGGTAGTTTCGGAGATTATCTGTCTAACAAAAATCGATGCAGGCAGTTTACAGACAGACACACACACACACAGAGAGAGAGAGACATACAGACAGACAGACGGAAAAGGGAGACCCATTTTTTCGTACTCTGGGGGTCAAGACCCATCGAGAAAATTCGTGTCAGTCGCCCGATGGACTACTAAACATAATCGATAGCGTTGAATACAGGCTGATATCCTCGATGATTTAGTTAATTTTTAAACGTTCTCGGCAGTTGTTTGAATAATTGCCTATCTAAGTGATATAATTTTCCGTTGAAAATTTTTCATGAAAATATATGCAATATTTGCTGTCGTGACGAGGTATACGTAAAAAAAGTAAAAAAACTAATCGGTACGAACAGGAGATGGGATTTTTTTTTAACTGGCAAAAAATACGTGGGTGTTCCGGAACTTTGACAGTAAAATGAATATTTTATGCGAAATCATCGAATATTTATAGGTTAAAACTTCTTTTCCTCATTTTATAAGGTAAGCGACCTAGTTTTCGTAAAAATTGTATTCTAATAAGAGTTCTATACCATCGTTCCCTTTCAACTTTTTGTGTTTTAAAATTTAAGTGTTGGTAACAGCATGTGGGAAGGATATAGTCACTACACGCCGGTGAATTCAGTTTTAATTCACGTTGTCACTTACCCATCAGCTCCGGATAGTCCTCTATTCCTGCAATATTGATATACTTTTTATGACTGGTCCTCGAATCCTCACTAATCCTACTTAACGCCGGTGGCGCCCCCTGAGCTGCACCTTCATTAGGAACTAACGCTGCCCTGTGTTCGGGACTTTCCGGTTTCCACTCGTTATCCGTCGTCTCCTCGCTGTCGTCGAATTGCGATTTCCATTGACTAGCCAAAGTGAGGGCCCCGCCCCTCGTCACCTGCTGACTGACGTTCTCGTCATCGATGACAGCGAATTGCGTCAGACTCTGGTCTCTCAGACCGGCGCGCGAACTGCGTGCCGCTGATGGCTGCCGCCTCCGCGGTCTTTCCTGTTCTGGAGTGGCCGGAGATTCAACGAGGCTACCGCTGCCTTGGATTTGCGCCGGTGTGACGACACGTAGGCGTCCTAACGTGGCGACGCCCGACTGGCTCTTTCGAAGCGGAGCCGGCTTCTGATTGGCGTCGGAGGTAGATTTGGCCGAAGCGATGGCTTCGTTGTCGAGACGTTCGGGGGGCTGTTCGAGGTGGGACGTGGCACGACGGCGTGGCGCTGAAAGAACGTAAGATCAAGTGATAAAAGCTAAAATAAATAAATTTCATCGATATTAAAGAGAACTGAACACCAAATCTGGGAATATTGCATACGAACCTTGCTGGACTTGCTCGACGGGCGTTGCGTTGCAGTTCTTATCGACTACGGGGCGGACGACAGCGTTGGTTTGGACGTCCGTTCCGAGAGGTACTGTGTTTTCGGTCTCGATACGTCTACGTCGTGCCTCGATTTGCGCTTCTTTATTATCCGTGGGTTCGATATTCTCCTGGTTGTTGTCGGTCGTAGTGAGTTTGGTATGTCTTGGAAGCGTCGTGGGAGCGGTGGGTTGCGCCTCAGTCGTCTGCGTGACGGTCACGTTATCACCGGCGGGAGTCTTCTCCCAGTCGTACGGGTCGGTCGGTTTTACACCTCGGCGTTTCATGCAGCGCTCGAACAGGTTTATTAACATCTAGAGACAAATTAGTATTAAGTATGTATTAGGAAGAAAAATAATGAGCACTGACTTGATAATCCGGCTTGTCGGCGTACTCTAGACTCTGAATATGATCAAGGAACTGCTTCAAATCGGACGGTAGATGTTTGAGCAGTAACCTGTGATCATATTTCTCTTTCATTAAACCGACTTGCTCCTTATCTTTGACCTTGCGCCACGGTAACTGGCCATTCACAAATTCGACTAGCATATAGAAGAGGCTCCAAAGGTCGTCGTGTCGTCCCATTTCTTTAAGCAGATTTAATTATAAAAACAAAACGTGGGATGGTGCTGTGAACAGATTGTGTCTATACGGATAGGCATCCGTATATGACGCATTCTTTTTAATATAAAAAATAAAGTAAAATCGGTCAGATGATTGTCGCCACAACGCTTTTGCTGACCTTATTAAATTTTGAAGACAATTTATGAGTGTTTTAGAAAGGCTTAAAAATTTTTGATGCGTGGAGGTGTTCAAAATAAAATAAACCAAGTCCATACTAATACAGTTTTGACCAATTTGTCACGTATTGCATCCGAACCCAATCGAACTCCTCAAGTCAGGGGCGGATGAGACCATTTGGAAATCAGGAACTTTCCCGAGGGACGGGTAGTTAGCATTTTAAAAATATTTTTCTCGTTCGCGATATTCCGAACATCTATAGATTAAAAACAAAAAAAACTTGGTTCATTTTTACTTTAAACACCATTTATATTATGCCAAAATTGCACAATACATATTTCTAGATATTTATTTACCGCTAATTGTTATTATTATTAGTATAATCCTTTTGGTGCTGGGCGCAGGATAGCAATGCCATCCTGGTCACAGCACCAACTTTCCCATCTCGCAATGTCCCTTACCTCTATTCTTGTGTGCGTTGATGCTAGCATACCGAACCGTCCCCCTAAACCCCGCTGCTGCTCTCGGTGCCCTCACCTCCCCCGTCGCCGTCGTGTACTGCCTCGCAAGTCCAAAATCTAACATGTACACCTTCCTACAGTTATATTGCAGTCTGCCCATGGAAAAATTGCTCTGAAAGCGTCGACATCGCGTCAGTACGACAACGTTTGTTATTCGTTTACAACACTTACGGGCTTAATATCACGATGCAAGAAGCCGACGGAGTGTATGCTTTCGATAGCTTTAAGTATCTGTAAACCTAGACGTAAAGTTGTGGAGAGGCTGAAGGCGGCACGAGGTTGTGCCCTTCGCAGTTCTGCCAAGTTGCGTCCTTGAAGCTGCATTACCACATAATTGAACCTATCATTCCTACCACAGCCAATGAATCTGAAGAAGAGAATTGAGTGGGTTAAAGGATATACTGGTACATACGACGCTCGGCATACAGTTGCATGTCAAACGGGTCTATCCGCCACAATTACACCGCGATTTATCAATACCGTCCTTACGGCGGCTTTGAAATAGTGATTTTATGAAACCGCGAGCAAGTAAAATACTACGTATATTTTTAGAAGCAACACCGATATCGATCAAATTCAGTTTTATGAGAGAAAAATACGTGAAGTTGCGGATTGGCAACTTCAAACATAAATATCGACAACTGCCATTAAGAGATGCTTCTTTGCATGTAATTAATGGCAATATACTTCTCTGATATTAATAATAATAATGATATATTTGCCCAACAGAATAATATCCAATTATAGGACAAAATAAATAAATTAAATGACATGTAAGCATAACGATAAGTAAACTAAACTTAAAATTAACTTAGAAAATAAAAAAAAATAATACAAATATATAACTTAGACGTAATTCAGATTTCACATTTCAATTGCTCGCCGCACAAGACTTCGGCGAACTACAAATCTGTATGAATAAACTAATAATAAATAATAAAAAGAAAAAATAATAATAATTAAATAATTAAATAAATTAAATAAATTAAATAAATTCAGCCGTGTTTACTACTTCACATTTTATACCAGACCTTATTCTTATTTAAATATTGATTTTGCACAATTTATTAATTCAGTGTAGTTACACTGGACAATGTCACATGATTCGTCTAACTCATTCGCTAATTTCATCATTTTGTACGCAGGGGAGTTTATTAAAACATTGGTTTTGGCTCTTGGACATAAGAACATATTATGATATCTTGACTGAATTCTTGGAACAAAAAATATAATGTGAGATAACAGTTCAGCACAGTCAACATTCCCATGTAAAATTTTAAATAAGAATTTAACAGCAGATATTTTCCGACGATTTTCCAATGTTGACATATTATTGTGAATTAATAGCTTTGCTTGATCAAATCCTCTGCTGGGGAATCTACCAAATTTTACATTATACATATATTTAAGACACCGCCGTTGAACCTTTTCTAAACTGATACTTTGATTTGCGTAGTATTGCACTAGAATCGCCCTCTTAATTGTAAAGGGCATTGTTTTTTTTAATGTCTACGAGTAGTTTGAAAACCGTATTAATTAAAGTTGATATGCGTGTCAGAACAAGTAACAATATTTTACAAAACCGCTCTAACGAGAAAATTAGTTTTCTTTTGCGTCTGTATACACCGGCAAAATTTGACCAACGATTTACCATGCATAGGATAACCTTAAAACGTTTGCAAGATTCACAGCATTCGGTTTTGCGGTTTCAAAATAAATCGTGATGTTGTCATAGAATTTTGACTTTTTCACTTTTTTTTCCAAAAATCTGGATTTGTAGGGTAAAAAATCAGAACACCACAAGTGTAAGAGTACCTTATTTTATAAAATTTAAATCACATTTACTATGCAACATTTGGAGATGACGTCATCACATTGTTGGAGGGAATGATTAGACAAATTTTGGTTAGCATTCTGTTAGATAGTATTATTACTAGTAGTATTTTAGGAAAATCGTGTAGGACACGATATTCATATAAAATACATATGTATAAGGTTTATCTCGTACTTCCGAAGATTATCCATCTAATAAACATCGACACAGATAGACAGACGGAAACGGGAAACATATACTGTTCGTACTCCAAGGGTTATGAAACGTGGAGAGAACCTGAAAATAGCCACTCACTGGATGGGCCGTATTTCCTTAGCTTACCCTCGAGAAGTAAAAGAAGTGTGACAAACGAAAGAAAATAAATAAATTATTCAATTTGTTTACATCCATTTTTCAACTATCTATGTATACATACGAATGTAAACCTAGAATGAGCGTAGTGTATTTTGAACGAGTTTTTGGCGAATTCCAACCGCCAATCCTAAGCAAAGATTCCGATTGTGGATTTGTCGGGTTTTTAACGAGTGTTGAATCTGTTGCTTTTCGGCGGCGGCCTAATGTCAATAAATTTGATTTTCTTTTAACAGCTGATGCAATGATGCTTGTAATCTGAATGTGCTAATAGTCGAATTCTTTCGATGTAAAAACAGTCGAAGTTAAGCATGTACTAATATCTAAATTTTTCCCGTTGGTTATTTGTTATTTGTTTTAGATATGTATATTTCATATTGTCGCGCACTCTTGCAATTTGCGCCCCCGCCGCGCACGGCCTGTAGGGATGTTATTTACACCATTGATTTTTACTTTATAACGAAACGAAAACCGTAAAATCAAATTTTATATTTTTGCAAAGAAGCAAGATTTGTCGGATTGACTATAATTCAAACACGAGGGAAGTTTTGTTGAAATATCTTCGACCACTCTTTTTACTTTGTATATAATTATTTGCCATTTTTACTTCCCAAGTGTCAGCTAAGGAAGTATTGTCATGGGGCCCATCGAAGGAATGGCTACTTTCATGTTTTCTCGATGTGTCATGACCCCTACAGTATGAAAAAATAGGTCTCCCCTTCCGTCTGTGTTTGTCCGTCGTCTGTGTCGATTTTCGTTAGACAGATAATCTCCGAAACTACTGGATCGATTGTTGACAATTTTTTACTCTCATTGCTTGCCCGATAGACCCGATTACAATACTTTCTTAGCTTACATTTTGAATTCGTGGAATTATTTTTAGGATTATAAATTATTACGACTTCTTGACGTAATGACCTTCGACCATTTTTGTATATACAATACAGAGTAAAAAAATCTGTAAAGTTATTTACATACAATTTGGTTCGCCTCTACAATGAATGCCACATGCACGTAGATATCTAATTAATAATAATTTTATAAGAAGATATCATACACTTTTTGCAGGAACAAACATTTATTTTTGATATGCATTGACCAAAAATTTTGTTGTTCATACGGTATATTCTAACACTATGCAGCGTGTTATTGCAAGGTACGTACAAAATAAAATCGGCAATTGGTTTCGAATGGGTGCTAAACTAAAAAAAAAGTTCAGGTAAAAGTGTTCTCGTTGTAGAGATAAAAATTATTAAAATTTATGTGCCCAATTCGTTGTACGCCTCTGATAAAAAGGTCATCGTTCGTTTCTATAGCAACAAAAGGGTTTCTTATTTTTTTAATATGGTTACAGTTGCTAGGATTTACTAAAAAAAAAATTTTACCTATTTATCCTTCAGTAGCATCTTAAAAGGTTGGATAGGGGTTAATTTTCCCCTTATAATTTTGATAACACAAAATAAGTTTTTCAAGCTTCTTAGATTTCGCAAAGAACTGTCAATTGTGTTGTACGTACCTTTCAAAAACACCCTGTATATGTATAAAGTTATGTACAGTGTTCAACCTGTTTTTTATCTAGCAGTACTAATACTAAATTAAATAAACCAAAATTAATAATTTATCTTGACTTCGAATCCTTTTTAGCGTTGAGAAAATCACTTACTGCCAACCTTCACCACGTAAAATGAATACTAACAATATTTATTCGCAAAATGGAATTTTACTTAGAATTGAGAAAAAATATGTGAAGCTCATAAGATGTGGGAAACCAAAAAAAATTGCAAAAATCAATACTTTTCCTACCCACATTGGCTCAAATTCGCTCCCACATATCGAAACAAAGGAAAATAAGAGCTAACACTCCCACATCCTGAAACCAATTTTCATCGCTTTGTGAAACAAAAGAATAATACCGAAAAAATGAAAAAGCCAACATAAGCAAACTTTCTCTAACAAATTCAAATCCCACATTAAAGTGGTACATTCCACGCAAAACGAACTCGTATGTCGACAGTCAGGTAACACCAACCATCCCAACTCCATCAGTGCAAGTAGATCCTTAACCGCTCTCTACGTACTTACTTCAAATTTTCTATTATGCGAAATATGTTCGCAGCAACATCAACAATTTTGTGTGGGTTGCATAATTAAAGCTTCGCTGAGGGAGAAAAGTTTGTACGGTATAAAAGCCGTGTAGGTGTGCTCATGATGAAAAATTAATTGATAAATAAACCGGTACGTTTGGTTTATTATGAAGCTAAATTTAAATAAATTTGATGGACTATATAAAATTATGCTTCGTTAAGGTCGCGTTTAACTTTGAAGCTTCGACCGCATCGAAACTGAGGTTATTGGACTGTTTGCATGTCTGAATTTTGCGTTCGTCTTCGGTTTTTGCAAATTTGCATTATTCATTACTTGCATTACTTACTAAGAAAAACTTCATCTAAGGTATTAGACAGAACTTTCCTCTCCTCTGAACTACAGTTCGAAAAATTATAGATTTTTCTTTTTACGAATTTTATTATTACTTTTTTATGATAAATTCCTATAAATTCAAGTGAGTTTTCTCATAACTAAATTTTGAAATGACGTCATAAATATTTTATAATAACACTGTATTTTAAAATTTTTGATTAAATTTTAATAACAAAATAAATTGCTTCATCCATGAATGCATTGACATATTGATATATGTATTTTGCATATTTTAGATATGATTTATCCGGCAAAATTTTTAGATGATCCTACAAGATTTTTGCGGGGAAGAAACAAATAGGTACATTTTAATTACCGATTTACGATAATCTTAAAAACCTTTTCCAAGCATTAGGTTTTCAGTTTCTAAGTAAAATGCAACACGTTGTCATATGTATAGTTTTGATTTCTTTTTTGAAAATATGGATGCCGTGGGTAAAAATCAAGGCGGACTCATAAACCACAAGTACACGAGTGTGTTATTTTTTAAAATTTAAATAGCATTTACAAGTACATAGTTATTTTTTAACAAGTTATGATAGCTAATTATATATAATGTAAGTTATTACTACGCAAGGGTATAGTTTACAAGACGACTCGAAGATGAGTGACGAGTTATAAACGACATTAAATTTTGGAAATATTTAAATAATGAATAAATAGATAATTGTCTTTGATTTCTTTAGACATTCCTGCGGTAATTT